GGCATCGGCTAGTTCGGCTAATATATTATAAACAAAACAGTTGCAAATAATATTTACTATAGGGCTCAAATCGGGAACAATAAATTCTTGAGCATGAATTTTTGCAGTTCTATTCTACTTAAAAGTGCCAAACTATTTGAAACGCAGACACAGACAGATGAGTTATCATCCGGAATACCTTCTAATTAAGTTAAAATAAACCTATTTATTAACACGTCACTCTGACACTCAGAAATTAATTATTCAGAAACATTTGCAGGAAATGTAAAACAAAGCTTCCGGTCCAAATAAGACGCGAAATACAAACTGTCACTCCGCAAATAAGTCTGGGCTCGTAAGTATTCGTGAAATACATGAGGCTCCGACGACGCTAAAGTCGGTAAATAAATTCATGTATAACAGAGTCGTAAACAGAGCAACGGTCAGAAAGGGCTGCCGAAAACTCAAGAACTCTGCGGTTACGTCCTTTAAATAATTTGCGTTCTGGTAGAAGTTGTTAAAAGCTGAAGCAAAAGTACAGATAAACTGGTGAAATAATTCAGTTAATTAACGTAAAACATTATACTTTAATTGTTAAAAATCTTTAAAAACCAACACCTTTCCTTCAGCTGAATATTGAACAACTCACTACTTTATCCGCTGAACTTATCCTCACTATCTCCCCATCGTCCGTAGGTGGTGCAGCGAGGTTAGGGATCAATCCCTCCGAGTGCCAGAAACATATCTGCACCCCACGGTGTGCAGGAAGGGGCTCATCCGTCACGGATTCAGCTTCCACTCCATTTGTGTCATTGTGGATGCAAAGCTGTGGGAGACACAATGATGAGTAGACGTAGCATTGCCCCCTCTCTTTAATGAGTGGTTTATGAAATGGGTTTAATTGACGTTTCGAAAGCAATCATTCGGACTAACTCCACACGGTCCTCTTGCCACTAAGCGAGTGAAATGAGTCGTGAGCACTCGATCCGAGACACCTTCTGTCGCATTCCAAACATTCGGTGGACTGCGCTGCAATGCAGTTATCAACGATGCAGTGGTATTATCAGGACCACTGTTTCTTCTTATTGCTTTTGCGAACATAACTAGAGTCCTGAATAAGAACAGCGAGTTTACTCAAAACTATGTTCCTGAAAGTGTAGAAGTTACAACACAAATAGGAACGGTTTAAGTACCCTTTAAATTTCTCACGGTTTACAGTCGTTCCCGCGCTTCGGGATACAAAGACAAGTACTTATGGTCTGAAATTTAAAAATCAGAACTACAAACTAAATAAATTTTTTAAAAAATCTGAAGGGTTTCAGATTTTAAATAACGTACAAACGGAAGTTTTCTTAACGTTTTGTGTAGTACCTTTATTTATTAAGTATTACGTTCTACGTACTCAAACTATAAAATACAGTTCAACAGCAATATCAAAAAATAATTTTAAGATGAGTATATCTTTAGAATTTCTGATACACGGTCTCGCGTGCTCGAGGTAATTTTTTTTTCCGTACAGTGTCGCCATTACTCGCTTTGAAATCGTTTAGTTGGTTAATCAAAAATTCTTTGAAATGTTACAAAATCTGAAATCGATAATAAAACAAATTTCAAATTCAAATTAGTGCTTTCACATGCCCATATTCTATGGAAGATTACGTTATTCGAATTTTGATGGCTTTAGGTACCCTTGATTTATCACAATGCTAGAAATATATATACATTTATGCAGATTCTTCATTATTTAATTTCTTTAACTATAAGGCAGGGTGATGTTATATGGTGGCAACGATTTGAAAAGTGATACAGCCTTTTAAAGTTTTCAACGCAAAATGCCAAAACGAAATTAATAGTCCTCCAGGGCAAATTGCCCTTTTGAACTAATAAGAGCTAAACTCAAGTACTTTACAACGACTAGTAGCGCGAAGACTGACCTTTTAATCTTTACGTATGTAGTACGTCGAATGCGGGAAAACTACAATACGCCTTCAGTATCAAGAGGGCTAAATTTTGGCCTTAAAGGCGGACAGCAATTGACTGAAATACGCGGTTGAGATAAGGTAGCAAGGAGTCTCTCTGTCTAACGCCTTCTTCGTTAAAAGCCACAACTTAAATACTTAACAGTTTGCAAGCTCAATTTTCAGAACTAAAACTAACCGCGTTTATTCTGGCCGGAAGTGGAAAATGAGAGAGGACAGTAAAGTTTTAAATTAAAAAAAAGTTAGTAAAACTTAAAATCTTTGCAGTATAACTAGAGTTGTTGAAGCCTTTCTAAAATGTTATTAGTCCAAAGGGGCTCTTTGTTCCTGAAGGACTATTGTTTTCGTTTTGCGATTTTGCGTTGAATCGCTATAAATGTCCGTTTCACTTTTAAAACTGTTGCCACCAAATGTTAGAGTCCTGCATTATATTTGAAGAAATTAAATAATGAAAAATCTGCATAAATATATGTATATTTCTCGCATTGGGATAAAACAACGGTACATAGAGCCATCGAATTTTGAATGACGTAATCCTCCTACGGATATGGGCATGTGCAAGACCAAATTTGAAATTTGAAATTTGTTTTATGATCGATTTCATATTTTGTAAAACTTTAACGAATTTTTGAGTAACAAACTCAAAGATTTCAAAGTGAGCAATAGCAACAATCTACGGGAGGTAAAAAAAAAACCTTTTTATCTCCAGTGCGCGGAACTGTGTATCGGAAATTCTAAAGACAGGCTCATTTTAAAATTATTTTGCACATTGCTATTGAACTGAATTTTATGTTTAAGTGCGAAGAACTTGATATTTAATAAATAAAGGTAGCACACAAAACGTTAAAAAAAATGCACCTTTGGAAGCTTGGCTTCCCTTTAGCTACACTTCACTGCCAGCGAGTGATGAACTAAAATATCATGTATACGTGAGAAATCGGAAAAGTTGTTATAGATAATTACAGACGTAAATTGTAATATAAATAATTGTAAGAATTAAAATTAGCGCTGTTTCTAGATATTCAAGAAGCTGTCGCATCTCCCCCGCCGCCGCCTTCATATCTTCTAGTTTATCGGGCATCATATTTTAACGAAAATGTCCATTTTGGTCTCTTTCGAATTCATTTGAACGGTGATTTTCGGGTGTTTGTACGTAGGGATAAAATAAAAGCCTCCTTTTTATTAAAACACATTGTAAAATGGATTTAAACGGATTCAAAAGAATTTTTTTTTTCGTGACGTATACACGTATGTACGTACATATGTATGTATCTCGCAAACTTCAAATGCGATTGGCCGTAAAACAATGAAATAATTTTGTATATGGAGCTACTATAACATGTAGTCGTGCACCTCCCTTTTTTGTTGTAGTCGGCTGCACCAAACACGTATACACACATATACATGTATACACATTTGTAAGAAATCTTTAAACGAAAAGATTTTAAAATTATTTCTGAGCAAGATGCTGCTGAAATACTAATTAATTAAAGATGAATAAATAATTGCAGCCTAGGTGCAGAATATATGTATATATATAAATTTAAAAGGGATTGAAATATGTTGTTCTTACGTTCGGGTTAAGATTTTATACTGAAAGTTAATTTAAGTGCAATAATTGTAAACTACGAACAGTTTAAAATTGTAATTGGCGTTAGGCCTAAAGTGGCGGCTGTTTGTTTCTCTTAGTAGTACAGCTAATCAAGCCAGTTGGTGCACCAACATCAGTGTCTTTTTGCCCAGTGGAACCAAAAGTTTACTCTAAATTTTTGTGCATCGAAAATTTGCCTTTCTGCCCATTGGCCGAATTGCTTGGTTTTGAAGTAGAAACTCTAATTTTAATTGCAATTTTTTTTAAACTGCTTTTGTTGTTTTGGGTTTTTTGTATTTTACAATTTTTGAATGTAAATGCTTTGAGCTTTTTGCTTTGCAGCAAAGTGAGAACTGAATTGATAGAATGAGAAATATATCTCTGATGAAATTATGGAAATAAGCTTAAATGAAGTACAGGAAACAATGTGTATAATATAATACGATATACAAGGAAGGTCATGTGGTGACCACATCAGAGTTTTAATGTTTCACACAGTTTTATATGATATACACTGTTCTTATTTTTTCCCTCTTCGTATATACGTTTTATGATGTTATGTGTCAAGCCACAAATTTATCAAATTCACAGTTTCTGAGAAATCCGCCGCTTTATAAAGAATTTCTCCCGCCTTCTTTGCATGCCTTAGTGGTGTGGTGGTCTGCACCCTGGGTGCGCATTCCAGAGGTCCGTGGCTCGATTCCCGACGACGGCGTTGCTCATTTTTCATATCTCTTGCTTCGAAATAACTTAATAGTCTCTACAAGTGGCGCCGCAGCTAAAAGGGTGGTGGTTGATGATTCTCCACACCCAGGATTTGGCTATTGGGTCCCCTAAAAACACCAGTCGCCCTTTAATAGGGGGAGTATATAAGGTATTTCTCCCGCCTTCTTGGCATACCTTCGTGGTGTAGGGGTATGCACACTGGGCGCGTGTTCTAGAGTTCCATGGTTCGATTCCCGGCGAGGGTGTTGCTAAATTTTAACATCTCTTGCTTCCAAATAACTTAATGACCTTACAACTTCATGCATGTATTTTGGATATGCCTGTATATCCACCAAGGGAAAAGCAATCATTTCGACTTGTTAGGAGTTCTCTTGCTGACGTCGTACTCTCTCAGTTTTTTTTAGTTTCAAGGATGTCGTCTTTCAGCTATTGTTTCCAGAGCATTTCAAACTTCCTATTAATAGCAGAAGTACTTATTGTTTTGAATCATCAGAATGAAGAAAAGCAAAAAGTTTCAGTAATTGGTAGTTGCACTGTTAATAAGACAGTTTCCAATTAATTCAACTTTTGTTCTGGGATACAAAAGAAGAATGTAGCAATTGTGTAGATGGTAGATAGGATTACGTATGTAACAATCACACAGAGAGTTCTGAGAAACTGAAATAAAAAGATGCAAATTTCACATACCATTGAACTATTAATATTTTCAATTTTTTCTCTTCCAGATTCCGAGCTTGTTTGAAACTATCCAGCACTGCCGCGGGAAACATGGTGGGTAAGCTGTTCTTCAACGTAGTGCAGACGAAATGTTTCCTCTTCAAGTACGTGAAAAAATGTGCCAAGAGATCTTGGTGGGGTAAATGCCTGAAATACGAGAAAGAGAAAGCGGCTGTACTCAGAGATGCTTTAAAGTACTGAAGAATATACTAGAATGCCAAGCAAAGAGGCTCTTTTGTAATGCAAAAGAACATTAGCGACAAGTCCTGATTGACGATTGCACTAAAGCAAATATTTCAAGAGAATACTTATGTTGTAAAATTTCTAAGATTTTTATCTTTTCAGTTAGATGTTTTAAGTTTATCAATATTTTCTATTTAGATTGGAGAACTGAGATCGTCACTCAATAAGAAGCTATTCTCTGGACTATACGCCTTTACTCCTAATATCGCATGTTATCATTGTACCTATTACTTATTCCTTAATACTGTTTTACTTGTTGTCCCATGTAATTTTTAATTATATATTTTTTTTTCATATTTCACAATCAAAAAGTACCCATGCTTTAATTGAAAAAAATTAAGACCACCTTTTGAAATGGAAAGCTATGTTAGCATTGTTAACTAAGATTAAAAAAGTATGAAATATTCGAAATTATATACATTATTTGGGTTGCTTTTGTAATGTGAGTGATTGAAAAGTATATCGGTTTTAATTTTTAAAAATTCAATAAATTTTATATTACCTATAAATAATGTGAAATTCCTTCATTACATTATGATTAATATTAAAATGATATCTGATTACTTTTAAATTATATTCTTAATTTGATTAATTTCATTTAATCATAAGTTATTTTTTCTGCGAAATTACCACAAAGTCCACTGAAGAAAGATTAATTTATTATCTAAATTTTCAGTTATAATTTTATGTAAAGATTATTTTAGTTTGCAGTTTCCAATTTGAGATTGAAATATGCTGAAATTTTAATAAACTGAAAAACTAGAAACAAATTACATGCATTATTAGAGGAGTCAAACAACAAGAACCAGCGTAATATTTGTAAATTTTGCAAGATTAGTTTCGATGGTTCTATAGTTAAACCATCAAAACTAGTCTTGCAAAATTTGCAAATATTACGTGGATTCTTATTGTTCGACTTTTTCAATAATCATTATTCGGCTATTATTTTAACCCAAGTTACATACATTTTACATTTAAAATTTTAGCTTGGTTTCGATAGATATTCAGATGTCTTTTTCAGAAGTTAACAATTTGGAAACATTTTCTTTTAGCTGAAAATTTTCTTCTACAAGCATTATATGTACTAAGATTTTCGTATAAGACATTATAGGGAAAATAAATAAATCTCTAATTTAAATGTCAGATTGTAGATTAAAAGTCTTCCTTTTTTATGTAGTTTTTAATTATAAGGGATTTATTGCATTAGCTAAAATGTATTAGTTTAAACCTGTAAGTTTTCCACGGAATTTTCTAGATTATTTTCAGAAGTATGAAAACTGCCGAGAGGTACAGGATTTGATTGAACCACATAAATTTAATGAAAAATCTTTTGGAAAGTATTTATTATGTTTGTATTCAAAGATTATGTAAAATGAATGTAAATTATGCAGCATTTCTATAAATTTGGACAGAAAGTAACTGGTAGTAAAGAAAAAGGTAAGAGAAAACATTATATTTAATGTATTAATTTCCTATGTCCTTTTATTTTTAATGTATTAGTCTCACAAATATCGCACAATGTTTCATTTCGCTTAAACATTTTTCTAATGAGAAATGAATTTTTTGGTTTAAAATAATTACTGGGTTAAATTAATTTTGATTAACAAGTAAATATAAACATTTGAGCAAAGGAAAGTAGTATGTAAACTTATGTTTTCTTCTTTTTCTTTTTTTAAATACAGCAAAAGCAATTTTGCAGTAAAATTTATTGAATTTTTAAAGGGAAGATATTTTAATAATCTTAAGTTATTAATTTTGTAATATATTTCAGAATTTTGATTAGTAATATTGATATTACTAAATGGAAGGGCAATAGATTTAGAAATATTTTTACTCAGCTGTTTAAATTGTTTCAGATTCAAGTTACCTCACGCTTAATTCTGCACTGTATTTCTAAATTTTTATTATGTTAATTATTTCTATGTTTTTCTATTTTGTTAAAATTTCATAGAATTTTTAATTTTAACGAGATAGCTGTATAAAAAAGACATTAAATCATCTTTACAAATTAAATCAAATTATATGAGAAAAATTAACATTGTAAGATAAGTAACATTGTTGTTTTATCAAATAAAACGAACGAATGGGAAACAAATATGCATTTTAAAAAATCATCAATATGAAGACTTAACAAATCCCCATTAACTAAATAAAAATCTTTATTAATAAAAAAGGGAGGCGGAGGTTTATTTCTTTTTTATTAAAAGCTGTGCCACAGAATTTATAACATATTTCTAACTGATTTTGAATTTTTTAAGTTGTAAAGCTCCAAAGGTATAATATTATTCTGCTACGATATCGTCATATTTTAAAATATCTTTTGATCTTTCCTACCACGACTACCTTCTTCAGTACAATGAAATAACTTCATGCGGTCTCACGTTACTTGCAACTGAGTAGAGGAAGCTACTTCTCGAAATTGCAAAATACTAAATATTCTTATGTGGAAAATATTTAATTTTAATTATAAAAAATAAATTTAATCGATTAAATTTGCAATTATTTTTGTGAATATTTACCTTCAGTGACGTCTAAGTAAAATTTAAATTTAGTTTATTTTTAAAAAAAGACACTATAATATTTATTCTATAGCCTGAATGTCCAACATAACGGATTTCTTTTTTTAACCAAAAAGCGTAAAAGTTTTGATAAATTAACAAGTCAATTGTAATTGACGTTTGTAGTCTTGTATAAATGCATTAATGTAGCTTGTGCAGGCCATCCACTTTTAATTCATATCGTGTACAAAAGTGTTGAAGAATTACACACAATTTTATCGCACAAAATCGAATTTTTGTTTGCTCGGCGAAGAATGTCACTTGCGAGCGTTTCCTATCAGAAAAGTCCCTCTTGTGCATCCTCTGTATGGATTAGGCTGTGTTGTTTGTCCTGCCTGATGCAGGCTGGAAGAATGATATGTCTTCTCAGTGTTCATTTGCTGTCGTAAGAAGAAAAATTGTTGTAGAATATAAACAGATGTAGATTAATTGTTTACCGTTTATTGTAATTACTATGTACAGTGCGTGCTTATAATGTCAGATATGTGTGTATGCTGTTAGTTCTATTTAGTAATAAAGAAACGTTCCTAGTGTGGATTTGTTTCATTTTCACCTCTGTCTCGAGCAGAATCTGACATTGACATTACAGAAATTTTGCATAGCACTGCATCTATTACTGCTGGTACTTAACAGAGTGTCCCGCAAAGAAGTCCCTGATTTTAAAATTACAAATCTCCGAAACAAAGATCGAGAGAGGAATACAACAAGCGATATATTTATTGTGAAAGCTGCAAAATTGTTACACAGAAGCTTCCAAATAATTACAAAAGCTGCAAACAGATGGTACTGTAATCGCAATACGTATTGCCCATAAACCGCCCTTCAGCGATTTTTGTAACCATTACTTATTTTATGTTTTTGTATCGTTTTAATACGTCGTTATAAATCCCCTGAAAATAAAATGCTGTAATTGCTTAGACCTGCGATGTTTAGGTCCTCTTCTTCAAGTTCAATGCCTCTCTCCTTGGAGAACTACGATCCAGAATTACCACCGTATTGAGCCCATGGGGCACCATCTTAGCTGAGCCGGAACAAGTTGTCCGCTTGTGGACATTATCGGCTTACAGTGAAACCTAGAACCTATACCAGCGATCAGTTCCACCCTTGAAAAGTGAAAGCAGGTTAGCGTATGGAAGGAAAAGATTGAAATCATGTGTTCGATTGAACAACTTGTGTTTTTGGTGCTGAAATACCAGAGGTTAGATCACGGTCCAATGCCAAGAAGGCGTAGTTTTCAGAAACGATTGAATGTTCCCAAAAGAACCTATGTGAAAATCATTCACAAGCAAAATCATACTTCGTTGAATATCCAACGGACAGGCAGCGTGGACGATAATCTGGCAAGGACGTTTGCTCGCAGGCAAACTGTAGTTACTCCTGAAAATATCGCTGTTGTTTCTGGAATTATCCAGCAAAATCCAAAGAATTGCAGCAGAGACTGGCTTCATGTTTCCATTCAAAATCCAAAGTCACCGGGCGCCAGCGTATAGCACCATCTCTTGGCAACTTTTGTAACTATCATTTCGAAACTTTTATAGCAATCTTACAGTTTTCACAACAAATCGCTTGTTGTATTTCTCTATCAATCTTTGTTTTGGAGATTTTTAATTTTGAAACCAGGGACTCCTTTGCTGGAGAACCTGAACACTCAAATTATCCATTATTTAAACACGATAAACATTCTCTCCAACAAGAATAATCCAATTATTAATAGATATTCATTGTTCAATAAGAGAATTAAAATTTCTTCTATACGCTAGAGCTGCTGTCAAAAGACGCAACATGATAAAAAATTTAGTGAAAATTTGGTGGATTATTTCATCAAATTTTAGACAGCTAGAGGCTAGAATTTTAGTCTAGAGTTACCCTAAGCTCTGTCTCCCATGATTATAATCACACGCTTAATTTCAGCAGGTATTTTTACCAAATACTGTGCACGAAAATAATTCTTTCAACTTTATACTACATATCTTTATATAATTTTATTTTCTTCTTTATACTGCATATTTTTCAAGAACTTAAGGGAGGAGGAACAAATTTTGTAAAGATCTGATTATTATAAAAATTTAAAAAAAATCACATGTCAGCTGATGGAACTGCATTCTTGAATTTTCCCACAACTCGCCCGCCTGATATCCTTATTAGTTCGATCGGTTTGAATGTTTTGGCAGATTGTAAATGACGGTCGTACTTCCCGTACTCACTTCGCTATCTTTTTGGTTAGACTGATATGCATTTATTGTTAAAAGAACTTAAGTTGATTCAAAAGAACAGTTAGAAATGTAAATAAATAAAATTTATTTTTAAGAAACTTTTGAGGATATAAAAAACTAGACAAAAATACAAGCTAAAATCTACTTCAGGTCTACAACTTGATAATATAGACAATTGTATATATTTAGAGCTAGTAATTATATACACTTTTACAGAACCTAGCCATCTTAAACGTAATTCTCTGACTCCGTGTACCGTGTAGACAGAGAGACGCCTTATTGCTCTGACTTAATCAGCCTGTGAAATAACAGCAGATAAAGAAGGTTTCAAGTGAACCTTTTCAAAAGATTTTAAACCTAAAAATTAATGCGATCATGTGACAAAAAAATTACGTACTTGCAAGATTACTTATAGAATTTGTGAACTATTACAAAGTACAAAAGTGTAGTAAAATGAAGTAAAATGTAGGTATTATAAAATGTGAAAATCACAATCGCGTGTGACTCACGCGAGCCAACATGCCTAGCAAAGGCTGAACCTGATTCAAATACGAGGGCAATTCCGAAATTAACCTCCGTTTCGCTGTAAATAAAAAACCTGCATAGATGCGACAAATTTTTATTTACATCTGAAAGGTTAAGCTGTACTCTATGTTTCAGCATAATCACTATGTATAATCAAGCCGTTGCCATAGCACTTTACCAACTTACCAATGCCTTCTGCATAAAACTCAGCTGCATGCGAAGTCAAGCAACTTGCCACAGCGGTTTGAAGTTCCTCAGAGAAATCCTGTGCCCTAAGCCATTTCTTCATCGCAGGGAACAGACGGTAATCCAAAGGCACTAAATCCGAGCTGTAACGGGGTAGTTAAAACACGCCTGTCCCATTTGAACTAGCAAAAAGATCTTGTGTTCGCTCAGCACTGTGAGAGCGAGCGGTATCATGCAGGAACACAAACTCAGATGCCAATAGGCCGGCAAGCTTTGTTCTGCGGATGGCTCTTTTCAGGTTTCTCAAAGTGTAACAGTCTACTGCAGAGCTGATTGTAGTACCATGTTCCATGAATTTGGCAAGCAAGATTCCATTAGCATCTCAAAAAAAGTTGACCATTATGACCCCACACTACTGACTGTTGTTTTGTCTCAGTATTCGCAAGTCTTGTCACCAGTCATTGTTCTGTTCACAAACTTCGCTTCCGTGTGGTACTGGGAAAAACTAAAGTCTAAGGTAGAGCCCATTCGATTGGTCTTGTGGATCTCCCTGAGAGTTTTCAGTACCCATCGAGCACAGAACTTCCAGTAGCCTTTTTTTTTTTTTTTTTCGGCGACTACCTCGTATGAAATGTTCGGAAATTGTTGTAAAAATTTCGAGATTGTGAATGGACAGATCTAATGGATCTTCTAGTCAATTTCTTTGACGAAAGCATCACTCAATAGAGACAGCCTCCCACTCCTTGATTCTTCATGAATGTTTGGTTTTTCTTCTTTGAAAAGACTGACGCACTACCCCTTCAGACAAAATGCTTGAGCCGCATGCGACACACAATTCAGGACGAATGTATGCTGCTGACAGTTTATTTTGCACGGCGAAATCGTATTACACGTCTTGCCTCGTGTTTTGCGGGATTTTCAATAGCAGCGCACATTTTGTGACGTTATAACTAGCACACGTGAGGCAGTACCACACTCTCACTAGGATAGCAGGAAGCTTACTGAATCACAGATTGCGGGATGCATGCTCTCCGTCCAGTACTGATAGCGACATGCCAAAACGGAGGTTAGTTTCCGAATTGCCCCTTAAAGTTTAGAAGATGGGCGAGAGTAATATTGAGATAATTCTGGTGGCCGATGCAAAACGATCTACACTAAATCGAAGAACTTTATTATCCAATGAATTTAGCCGATGAATGTAGAAGTTGTGGAAATTAAAATTAAAAGATTAAATGGTTAATAAATATAAAACCTTACATATTTATTTTTATAAACCTGCAAACCCATGACAAAAACTCTTTCGAAGGCCCGGGAATAAATCATGAACCTTGAGGTATCGATCTACCTAAATGACTGCAACAAAAAAAAAGTCTTTTTATTATCGTTGTTCAGTAGTGATAAAGAGTTGCCGACAGGAGGCGCTGCTAGCGCGTTATACTCTCGACCTACGTAATTTGAATTGAGTATTCTTTTCTTTTGTGTACTTGCTGTAACAAATCTTACAGCTTTGTGATTGAGAATTTGAAATGTTTTGGAGCCAGATCGTTCCTCTACAACAACAAAATGATTAATAAATACATAATAAAGTAAATATCTTTGTGATGATAATTCTTGTTATTAAAACCAAGTCAACCAGCTGGTGAGTACAGTTCAAGTGGTCCGTCGAGAATCGAAGGTGAGCTCTCCCATTTTAATCTCTATTAAATTTGAAGAGTATAACTGTAATAAATATGGAAGCTCTAAAAACTAGAAAAAGAGTGTTAAAAAGTTCATTGACGCGGCATAAAGATAAAGTTGTTTCGTCATTAGATGTTTCAGATTCAGTTGCGTTGCAACTATTTGAAACCAAAACTAATGAAATTTCTAACGACTTAAATCTGTATTTTATTCAATTTTCGAAACATGTAAATCCGAAGAATTGGATAACTTTATTAAGGGTAAAGAAGATACAGATGATATTGTTGATGAGTTGCTATTGATGATTAAACGTAAATTAGTAGTAGTTAAAAATAAGATGAATTCTGAACATTCTGTTTCTACTGTGCCGAGTAATAATAATTCAAATGTGTTGTTTTCGGATGTTAAGTTACCAACGCTATCGGTACCGACATTTCAATGGTAAAATAGAGAATTGGATAATGTTTAAAGATATTTTTAAAGCTAGTGTAATAGAAAACAAATCTATTTCGAGTAATGCAACGGAGATTGCAATACTTAAAAGCTAGTTGTAAGGACGAAGCTCTGAGAGTAATACAGTCTATTTCTATTTCGGATACAAATTTCGATATAACTTGGAAACTTTTAGAAGATAGGTATTCGAATAAACGCGAGCTTTTAAATGCTATAATAAAAAAGCTTTTGAATTAGCCAAATATTAGTGAAACATCTAGTTCTATTCTAAATTTAATTGATGTAACGAACGAATGTATTCGAACCTTTAAATATTTTAAACTACAACAGTAGAAAAACTTATCGGAAATAATGATGTATATTTAATAGTGGATAAGTTTGATAAATCGACTCGATACTGGTGGGAAAAGGAATTAAAAAACTCGGGAGAATTCGGTACGTTTGAACAATTACTTTCGTTTTTACAAAGCCAAGCGAGAAC